ACCCACTGAGTTTTTAAATTTCAATTATTATATATCTAATTTCTAAACATTCTAGTCATTTTTTCTAAAATATTCTTGGTGTTTTTTATAGTCTCTGATCCTCCATTGATATTTTGAATTCATTCTTTTATTTATTTATTTATTTATTTATTTATTTATTTATTTATTTATTTATTTATTTATTTTGTCCTTTTTGTCTTTTTTCGTGACCGGCAATGGATCGCAACCCTCAGTGTTGCGCCCGTACCAGACCGGGACCAGCAACGGGATCGCAACCCTCGGTGTTGCGCCCGCACCTTGCTCAGCCAGTGAGCAGCCGGTCTGTATGTGGGATCCGAACCCTCGGCGGGAGCGCCACCGCACTCCCAAGTGGCACACTGTAGCAGTGCGCCACCGGGCCGGCCCCATTCTTTTATTTTTAAATACATAAAACATATTTACTTTATATTCTATGTCTAATAAACATGGCAACTCTGTTTCATAGTTGCTAATTCTAAGAAATTTAAAATCATCTTTGACACTTTTTCTTTTCTTCTACCTCAATATCCAATAGGATAACCAATCAGTTGGCTTTATCTCTAAAATATATACCAAATTTAATCCCTAATTCATTTATTTCTGCTCTTATCTTTGTTATTTCTTTTTGATTTTGTGTCTCATTTGTTCTTGGTTTTCCAGTTCCTTGAGGTGTAATGTTAGGTTGTTTATTTGGAGTCTTCTTTTTTGATGTAGGCATTTATTGCTATACACTTCCCTCTTAGAACTGCTTTTGCTGTACTCTACAGGTTCTGGTATGTGTATTTTTGTGGAATATTCTTAAAGCAAATGTACTTCACAGGGCCTGGTTTTCCAAAGCCTTGCAGTTTCAAATATTGACCTTGTGGAGGAGTGGAAATTTTCTGAAGGCTGTAAAGTCTCTGGTGTAAGATAAAGATCATGGCACAGCAAGGTTGCTGGCTCAAGGACAGACTAATTATTGATTGTTATGTAAAGATACTGAGAAATTGCTGTAAGATCACTTAATTGTCTACTGGAATGTCATCTGACTTGTTTCACTGAAAGTTACCAGTCTATATTGTTAGACTATGACCCCACCTATGTTCTCTTCCTATAACTTCCTGGTCTGGAAAATAAATGCAGGAAGAGAACCCCAATTCGGGTTTAATTTCCCAAGGAAGGGTTGCCTCTCACTTGAGGGTTCCAGCAGGAGATTAACCACTTCAGGGTCTCTCACTGCTCAGAAGAGATGGGCTTTGAGTAATCCTTTGCACCTCCATCACCCAGGGGAAGAGGGGTGACAAATCCATGGGGGGCAAAGCAACATGTTTTCATTTTCATTTCTCTCTAGGAATTTTTAAATTTCCTTCTTGGTTTAGGAGCATCTTAACTTAATCAAGTGGGTGATAGACCTCTGCAATGAAAAACTATAAAACACTGGTGAAAAAAAATTGAAGAGGACACAAATAAAAGGAAAATAGCCCACGTTCATTGGTCAGAAGAATTAACATCATCAAAATATCCATATTATCCAAAGCAACCTACACATTCAATGCAATCCCTAACAAAATGCTAATGTCATTCTTCACAGAAATAGAAAAAAAAATGATCTTGAAATTTGTATGGAACCACAAAAGAACCCAAGTAGCTAAAGCAATCTTGAACAAAAAGAACAAAGTTGGAGGCATTACACTTACCAACTTCAAAATATACTGTAAAATTATAGTAACACAAACAGCAGGATACTGGCATAAAAACAGATAGATTGACAAATAGAATAGAATAGAAAGCCCTGAAATAAACCCACACACTTATAGCCAAGATTTTCAACAAAGGTGCCAAAATTATACAATGGGGAAAAGACAGCCTCTTCAACACATGGTGCTGGGGCAATTTGTTATCCACATGCAGAAGATTGAAACTAGACTGCTATCTCATACCATAATAAAAATCAACACAAAATTGATCAAAGACTTAAATTTAAGGCACAGAACTATGAAGCTACTAGAAGAAAACATAGGGGAGATGCTAAATGAAATGCAAGTGAGCCCCACTTTTTTAGTGAGACTACAAAGGCAGCAGCAACTAAAGCAAAAATACATAAATGGGACTACATCAAACTAAAAAGCTTCTGCACAGAAGGGTCACTGTCAAAAAAGTGAAGAGACATCTTACAGGATGGGAGAAACTTTGCAAACTACATATCAGAAAAGGGGCTAATATCCAGACTATATATAAGAAACTCAACTCAACAGCAAAAAAGTAAATAACTCAATTAAAAAACAGGCAAAGGAACTGAACACACATTTCTCAAAGAATACATACAAATGGCCAACAGGCACATGAAAAAATGTTCAAATCACTAATCATTAGGGAAATGCAAATTAAATCCATAATGAGATATCATCTCACTCCAGTTAAAATGGTTATTATCAACAAGAGAAAAATAAATGCTAGTGAGGATGCAGAGAAAAAGGAACTCTCCTACATTGCTGATGGGAGTGCAAATTGGTACAGCCACTGTGGAAAACAGTATGGAGGTTCCTCATAGAACTAAAAATAGATCTACCCTGGGACCCAGCTATCTCACTACTGGGTATATACCCAAAGGAAATAAAATCAATATATCAAAAAGACACCTGCAGGGCCGGCCCGGTGGTGCACTCGGTAAAGTGCGGTGCTTGGGAGTGCGGCGATGCTTCTGCCGAGGGTTCGGATCCCATATAGAGACTGGTCCACTCACTGGTTGAGCGTGGTGCGGGTGGGACACTGAGGGTTGCGATCCCATTGCCGGTCACGAAAAAAGACAAAAAGGAAAAAAAAAAAAAAAGACACCTGCACTCCCATGTTGCAGCACTATTCACAATAGCCAAGAGATGGTATCAACCTAAGTGTTCATCAATACAGATGAATGGATAAAAAAAATACTGTGGTATATATACACAATGGAATGCTAACTCAGCTATAAAAAATGATATCCTATTATTTGCAGCAACATGAATGAAACTGGAAACCATCATGTTAAGTGAAGTAAGTCAGACACTTAAAGACAAATACCACATGATGTCACTCATATGTGGAACCTTAAAAAAAAAAAAAGTGGTTCTCATAGAAGTAGAGAGTGGAAAAATGGTTTCCAGAGGCCAGGAGTGGAAAGGGGGGTGTTGGTGAAGGAAAAGTGGTGGACTAATGGGTATGAAACTAGACTATCTACTCTAAGTGAATCATTGTTGCATATATAGAAACAATATACTGTAGCTCACAAATAAGTAAATATTAAAAAAAAAAGAAATATATTCAGTATATATATATATATATATATATATTTTTTTTTTTTTTTTTTTTTTTTTTTTTTTTTTTTGCTGAATTTCATCAGTTTCCACCCAGTTCATGGCTACAATCTCATTAAAGGAGGGTTTGTGTGTATAAATGATCAAGCAAAGTTATTTTTAAATTCTACTATTTGGTACCAAGGGGTAAAGAGTTGTTTTCTTATTATCCCATTCCATGAGATATTTTTTCTTACTAAATGTTTTCACAGAATATTTTGGTGTTCACTCCTTTGGGGTCCCAAATATATGTAGATATTTCTATTAGGTTCCCCCTCATGAGGGCTCTGGGATTCGTCCTTGATCTGCTTACCCCAATGTGGACCTCAAAACAAAAGGTAAATAGGCAACCTTGGTTTAGAAGATGTCCACAACAGAAAGAAAGAAAGAAAAAGAAAGAAAGAAAGAAAGGAAGAAAGAAAGAAAGAAAGAAAGAAAGAAAGAAAGAAAGAAAGAAAGAAAGAAAGAAAGAAAGAAAGAAAGAAAGAAAGAAAGAAAGAAAGAAAAAGAAAGAGAAAGAAAGAGAGAGAGAGAGAGAGAGAGAAGAGAGAGAGAGAACAAAGCCAGAATAAGATCTTGACTGCATCTCTTGATTTTTTCCCATTACTCAAAATATTTTCCTCCCTTTCTCAATAGCTCAAAAATAACTTGAAAATAATAGTTGGTAGATAAATGTTAGATGATAGATAGGCAGATAGATAATTGTAGCACCCATGTTGTAGTCAAAAAGAGTGGTTTAGGGTATCTAGTGGTTTAGGGTATTCCATACTGTTGGAAACAGAATTTCATCTTACATATTCTTGCACATTCTTGCTACTGTTTAATTGACCTTAGTTAGCCTGCTTTTTGTGCTCATTTGTTTGTTAAGATTTGAGGTTTGGGTTTATAATTTCAGGTGCAAATAGATGAAATGGGCTTTGTTGGGGGCAGTTCAGAAATATATAATAGATTTTAAAAAGCTATCTGAATAGCCTCTGGCCCAGTTCCACCCTAGGCATGAAGGCAAAGCCCTAGAAAATAATAAAGTGATCCTTTTATTTACTTTGATAGCAATTGTCTTATGTAAATACTTCCCAATGACTGCAAACAAATGAAAGGTATTGATAAATTCTCAGCTACCATTATAATAAAGTGTATGATGTAGTATAGTTATACTTCCAAATAGCATCTAAATACATAGGGAAGAGCATCAAATGATAGCTTTTCAATCACCTTGGAACTGAATAGAAAATAAAACAAGCAAAATTTTGCATTTGAATTTTGTTGATTAATTTTCCAAAGGGATCTCTAATTCAAAAGTGGTTATTAATCATTGACTTGGAGCCAACATAAAAGTGGCATCAGTAATTGTGTTATGTAATTGAGTGTCTGGACCCAACAATTTTGGATGATAAGGCTGCCAGAACTGAAGGAATATATTCTTTCCCTTGTTACCCAAGCAACTGTGACCACAAGTGGTGGTGGAAAAACAGGCAGTCATCAGGGAAGCCTAAAAACTCTAGGTCTCTCACAGTTCATAGGACAGCATCTGAAGCCTCTAAGACATCACCTAAATCCTCTCCTTCTCCTGTGGCTGCTCTAAAAGCCCAGCTTTATGTCAATACTACCACATAAAGAGGGTACCAGGCAGGGAAGAGGTGAACAGAGAGATCCCAGTTTTCTAGTTCTACTTACCTTCATTTCTGAATTTTGGGTAGATAAGAAAGATACCAGTAAACATCAGGAAACGTAGACCCACCAACACAATTTCAAAGCAAACACTCCCTTTACTCTTTGTAACTGGAAAAAAAAAAAAAAGAGTCAAGGAGAATTAGGAAGTTAGGACTCTGAGAATGCATTGGAATAGCAACAAACATACTAGATACAGAAAATTTTTAAAGGTCAAAATGTCATGTCTAATTATGTCTATTCAACCTATGGGCTGAATATTCAACAACCTATTCAACAGGGCTTGGCACAAAAAGCAGAATTGTAAGTAAAGATAGATCAAGAATTCAGGGCTGAGGATCAGGCTTACAATCAATTGGGTTGAGAGCAGAGCAGACTTAGGAAGAATAATCTCTTCCTACTTTTCCCCACACCATGCAGCATGTGATCATCCTAAAAAAATGAGATCTAGAGAGAGCAGAACCCTGATCACTGTAACTTTCTCTGAATGCATAAGGGTCTAAAGTTTATAGGACCAACAAGGTGGTAGTTTTGGGAAACTCTGAGTTAGTTAGGAGGAAAAAGTACCTTGGAACCTGAGAATTTCACAGTTGTAATGACCTTAAGGTATAATGCAAGGATCTTCTCTACAGCATCCCTGCTATTTAGCCATTCAATGTTTACTTGAATACCTATATCCCAGGGAGCTTACTACAGTGTGAGAAAAATCATATCAAAGATGGACAACTCTTCTTATTAAACCATGCTTTCCTATATTAAGCTAGATTTTTGAAAAAATTCATTTATGGATTTATAACATTTCTAGAGGAAAATGACAAGATTGTTGGGTAATTCTCAGACATTTCATGCAAGGAACAAATAACAATGAATACTTAGAGTGGAGAAGATCCAGAAAAGACAAAGATTTTTCGTTTTTGTTTTGTTTTGGTTCTGTGTTTTTTGTGTGTGAGTTTTTAAAATTAGAAATGCCAATAGCAATTACCACCTGTAAAGCCCAAAAAGGGAAAATGTTTTCACATTACACTAGAAGTAAGCTCTACAAGGCAAAGACTTTTGGCTTTTTCCTCCTTTGCTTTATTGTTACTGTCTAGAACAGTGACTAGTATCTAGGAGATGCTCAATGCGTATTTGTTGAATAAATAAAGAAGTCAGAATGCCTAATGAGTTAATGACCTTCCTGTTGCTGTAAGCATGCAAGAGTAGTCTTGATACCACGCATCTTCCTGAAGAAGAGCATCGTGGTTGGAGCAAAGTGTTTGGCACTTGAAACATCTAGATAGATAGTTTATATGCAGTTCTTTATTTATAGATAGTTTGAGCTTGAACAATGTGTGCAAAAATTCTGATTTTTTCCCATCTAATGATAATAAAAAGAGCCTACCTCACAGGGTTGTTTGGATCAATTAGTAAGATATTGACTATAGATTTCTTTTCACATCTTCTGACATGATAAATACCCATTAAAAGTTATAAAGGTTTTTATGAACTGGGCAGAGGACTGGCCAAGTTGAGCTCTATGTTCTTTCTCAGCTTTACATTTCCTGAACTACAGATAAGTTTCATTTACACAATAACACTCAAAAGGCACCTTGTCTTGTGAATTGTGTATTTGTCGCTATAGGTTAAAGTGTCTCCCGAACTCTTCCAGTCCATCTCTTCCTCCATCCAGAATAGTCTAGAGTGTATGGCAGCTCCTTTCTCTCATGAAATCTACAGTATTTGATGCTATAGCCTGCCTCTTCTGTTACTCATCTTGCATGGTCTAAAGTCCTGTGGTCCAGTACTACAAGAGGCCATTCTCAAATATGTCTGATGCCTTCTCTTCCCTCTGTTTTTAACTCCATGAAATTAATACTGCATTTCCTACCCCAAGTGAGGCAAAATAGAGTATGTTCAGGTTTGTTTCATAGGAGTTGAGAAGAGATCCCAGAGGACCAAGAATCTGGTTACTAGTTCATATATTTTTCTTTCTCTCATTATCAAAGTAAAATTTTCTGAACAATTTAAATAATAAGTCTAAAAAGTCCACAGATACCTGTGGAAGAGAACAGAGCTGTTATTATTTGAATTCCAGAAAATGGCCCCAGTGAGAGGAAATAAGTAACGATGGCTATGAAAAGATCAGGAGATCTTAGTCTTAGTAGTTACAAATAGCAGCAGCAGTGCCTTTGCCTGGAAAGCCTCATAAGGAGGGAGGACTGCAGCTTACCTTAAGGCATAACTCAAGACATATAGACCCACTTCGGCAAATATGGCAGTGGGATGCACTGAGATGCAGGTTGACACAGTTTTCTGTAAACCTCCTCTAAGCATCTGGTATATAGAGCTGATAAACAAATTCAGCAATGTTGCAGTATACAAAATCAATATATAAAAATCAGTAGCATTTTCATATTCCAACAATGAGCTAGCAGAAAAAGAAATCAAGAAAGCAAACGCACTTACAATAGTCACCAAAAAAAAAAAAAAAAAGAATACCTAGGAATAAATTTAATGAAGGAGGTGAAAAATTGCTACAATGAGAACTACAAATCACTACTGAAAGAAATTAAAGAAGACACAAAAAGATGGAAAGACATTCCTGTTCACAGATTGGAAGAATCAACATAGCAAAAAACATCTATACTCCCAAAAGCCATCTACATATTCAATGTGATCTCCATCATAATACTGACAACATTCTTCACAGAAATAGAAAAAACAATCCTAACATTCACATAGAGCAACAAAAGACCCCAAATAGCCAAAGCAATCCTGAGCAAACAAAATAAAGCCAGAGGCATTACAATTCTTGACTTCAAATGATACTACAAAGGTATAGTAATCAAAATGGCATGGTACTAACACTTGGACCAATGGAACACAATAGAGAACATAGAAATCCACCCACGTATTTACAGCCAGCTAATCTTTAACAAGGGCACCAAGAACAAACAATGGGAAAAGGGCAGCCCATTCAATAAATGGTGCTGGGAAAACTGGATATTCTTATGTGGAATAATGAAACATTTGAACAATGTACTCTGGTCTTAGATGAGGACTGCAGGCTAATGTAGCTGGACTCTCACCATATACCAAAATCAACTGAAAATGGAATAAAGACTTAAATATAAAACCTGAAACTTTAAAACTCCTTGAAGAAAACATATGGGACACACTCCAGGATGTACAGCTAGGCAAGGACTTTATGCAAAAGACCACAAAACTACAGACAAATAAAGAAAAAATAAACAAATGAGATTTTATCAAACTAAAAAGCTTCTGCACAGCAAAGGAAACAATCAACAGAGTGAGTGACAAGACAACCTACAGAATGGGAGAAAATATTTGAAAACTATAAATCTGACAAAGGATTGATATGCAGAATATGCAAGGGACTCAAACAACTTTATAGTAAAAAAAATAATAATCTGATTGAAAAATGGGAAAGGAGCTGAATAGACATCTCTCAAAATAAGACAAACAAATGACCAACAGATATATGGAAAAATGTTCAACATCATTAACCATCAGGGAAATGCAAATCAAAACCATTTTGAGATATCATCTCACTCCAGTTAGAATGCCTATTACCAAAAAGACAGAGTTCAGAGAACAAGGGGAACCCTCTGCACTGTTAGTGGGACTGTAAATTAGTACAGCCATTATGGAAAACAGTATGGAGGTTCTTTAAGCAACTACAGATAGAAATGTGATATGATCTAGTAATCCCACTACTGGGTATATATCCAAAGGAATGGAAATCTTCATGTTGAAGGGTTACCTGCACTCCCATGTTTATCACAGCTCTATTGACAATAGCCAGGCTATGAAACCAATGTAAGTGTCTGTCGATGGATGACTGGATAAGGAAAATTTGGCATATATATGCAATGGAATACTACTCAGCCTAAAAAAGAATGAAATTCTGCCATTCGCAACAACATGTATGAGGCTGGAGAAAATTACTTTAAGTGAAAGAACCCAAGTGCAGAAAGAAAAATACTGCATGTTCTCACTCATAAGTGGGAGCTGAATTAATAAATAAATGAGAGATAAAAAGAGAGAAAGACAAACAAAGAAAGAATCACAATAATACATTGAACTTTTAGAAGGAAAGAACAGAACTGTGGTTACTAGAAATGGAAAGGGGGGAAGGAGAGATGAAGATGGATAAATGAGAAATTGATTAATGGACATAAAGAATGATTTACATATTGTTGTGATGAATAAGTTAACTATCTTGATTTGACCATCATGTATTGTACATAACTATTAATAGTCAACTTTGTACCCCACAAATGTGTATAATCAATTATGCTTCAATAAAAAATAAATTTAAAAAAGAAGGAATAGCTTCAAAACTCTTTACCTTTCCTGAATTAAATACCTTTTGTTCTGAGACACAGAAGAGCAATCAAAATGATCAAATATATCAGGGGATAAGAAATTTTATACCACATCAATGACATATATTCTGATTTGAACAGGACATCTGAAAGAGAGGGCAGAAAAAACTTGGTAAGTAGAGCACAATACTCCATTGGGCATGGAAGATTGCTGCTAGGGAAGCAAGATCCCTACTTAAGGCACCCATCACACTGTGTGCTATGTACTCCAGTCTTAGATGAGGACTGCAGGCTAAGGTAGCTGGGCTCGGATAAGAACAAAACTATTCAGAGAATGGAACAGGATTGAATGGAGAAATAACTCCCTACTTTTGTCCTTACATTCTAGTGGACAATCTGTGAGATGAGAGAAATTACAGGACAGGATCCTGAGTACCACAATAAATGTAGGATTTGGGGAAGATGATGTTTGTGGGGCTAGATTAGAAGTGCCTCTAATAAAATTTTAGAAAGTTTAAAGACAATGTAAGAGCTTTAAAATCACAGAAATAAAACTAAGAAAGGCTTTTGACATTCAGTGTTTAAATTCCCTGTAGGAACTTCTGTAGGACTGATACAACAATAACAACAAAAAGTTCTCCCAGAACAGAACACCTAACATAATATCCTGATCAAAATTTCAAAAATACATAAATAAATAAATAAATTGCTGAGTGGTGATAAAGCAAGGAACTCCTCAAATTCCTCAAAGTTCAGAAAATGGGCAAGGTTCAAAGCAAGCATTCGCTCTATTATCATCTACTAATCAATAGTGACTTGAAGAATGGAGTTTAAAGAGCTTTCCTTGTATTTGAGATATTGTGGAAAGAGAAAAACACTGGTTCCCAAGGAATGAAGAAGTCAATATTGGAGACAGACAAACAAACAAACAAACCCACAAAATCATACAGGCAATACTATTATATATTGGAATTTTCAGATACACAACACACACACAGAAAATCAATGTATTTAAATAATAAATGGTTTAAAGTATAGCAGGCTAACCTAGTAAATTAGCATTGAACTAATGGAACTTGAGAGATACATGGATTCTAGGGAAAAAATAATGACATGTAAAACTAGCTTAGCTCCATTGTCAAGGCATCTTCCCTACTTGGTTATCACCATGACTGAATTTGCTTTTTTACTTTATGAAAGGCTTCTATTCAAATAAAAAGAATCAACAAGAAAGACCATGGGATCCAAGGGTCTACATTCACACCTTAGCTTCAACAACACTGATTGTTGTTGACCAGTCAAGGAAACCTGGATGACTCAGAATAGAAAGGTAGTATCAGAAGGGAAACCAAAGTAAGACCCATGAAGTAGGCAGTGATTGAAATTCTGAGTTTACTGAAAGAATCTATTTTGGATCACAAATGGACCCAAGCACCTAAAATGTGGCATTGGTAAACAAGAAGAAAGGGTTTACAAGATTTATTTTATTGGCTTCCTAATTGATCTTCCATGACTGTGAGGAGAAAGGATATTTTCTGGCCGGCCCGGTGGCGCACTGCTACAGTGCGCCGCTTGGGAGCGTGGCAGCGCTCCCGCCAAGGGTTCGGGTCCCACATACAGACCGGTTCCCACTCACTGGCTGAGCGAGGTGCGAGTGCAACACTGAGGGCTGCAATCCCGTTGCCGGTCCCGGTCCGGTACGGGCGAGACACTGAGGGTTGCTATCCGTTGCCGGACACGAAAAAAGACAAAAAGGAAAAAAAAAAAAAAAAAAGAAAGGATATTTTCTAATTTCCTGATATTAAGCTTTTGTGAACGGGATCAAGTTAAATAGTTACCTCCTGCTGTCTGGTGGACTCTCACAATAGAGCTAAAATTGATCTGAGATCATACCCAAAGACCCTCTGGTAGACACTGATGGTGTCCCTCAGGGAATATTCTCTCCTTCTCCTTTTTAGTAGTAGTGGTATCCCTTGAGAAACAAAACCAAAATTTTCCCTGTCCATGTGTTAAACAATGCCCAGATGAAACAATCTCCTGTCCTCCTGGTAAACAGTTTGGGTACTAGCCATACATTCATGTCCATATATTAAATGACTGAAAACAAGCAATAATAACTTGGCTACTGGCTCCAGGAAATTCTTGCTCCTGGAATATAAGTCTGTGAATCAATTAAAATAGTTTACTCAACAGGAGTAACAATTGAGTCATCAGGACTCACCTCAAGACCTTCATCCTGCTGTACTCACCAATCCAAAGCTATTATACTCTAACCTGTCTCTCACCTTGCAAGACCTACCTTAAATCATCCAGCGGAGGCCCTAAAACTCTGTAAATACCCTATCCTAACTTCCCCATATTAGGATACTACTAATACTCTGTCAAGATGCTGTTGTCCCTCACAACATTAGGTCTAATAAATTAAGTTTTGCTGATCAACAGGTTTTCCAGGTCTTTTAGGCAGTTGATGGTCCACACCCTAACTATGAATTAGACACATGGTCACCAAGTGAAAAACTATATATATATATATATCCCTGGAAGCTGGCTGTGGCAACTAATTTGGGTCAGTGGAATAGAAATGGACTGACATGTACAACTTCTTGATGTAAAAGGAAATATCTTGTCTTGTGTTTCCTCTTTTTCTCCACCCCACAAGAGCTGGGATGAAGTTGTGAACATAAAAGCCAGCTTTAACAATGATATCCCTTGAGATGGCAGATCAATAAGGTGGAAAGAACTTGAGTAACTGAGTTTCCTCAAGGAGTAGCTCCACACTCACTGTGAACTGACTGGTTCTGTTATGTTTAGACTACTGTGGAGTGAGTCTTTTTTGTGTAACAATTGAGCTGTTGTCCTAACTAAAATGGACCCTATCACTGTTCTTACCTCCTGTCCTTTCCACTCTCCTTGAGTTCTCCAGACTGCACTGCTAAAGCATAAAGGGCACAATTTTATGGTGTTTGCCTCTAACCTATATAATCACACCCTTCCCTTCCCAGAGAAAAGTAGCCTGAATCATGGGTGAGGAGCTAGTATCTAATCCTGAATATATCACTTATTGGTTGTTGGACCTTTAGCAACTGAATTTTCTATATGTCTAAATCTTCATAAGGTAGTAATAAAGTCCACTTGTGACATACATAATCTTTAAATCAATCTTAATTCTGCATATTGCTTTATGTTTTGTAAAGCCATTTAACTTGAAATATTTCACTTTAAAGTCAAAATGCTATGTAGGTTATCATGTCCAACTGAAAAAAAAAAATCAGTAGTCTTGAAGATTGTGACATCCAAGGTCAAAAAGCTAGAGATAGTGTATCTAGTACTCAAATGACATATAACTTTTGAAGCCTTAACATGCAACTCAGAATAAGGGCTCTTTCTCTAATTATTCCAATACTTTCCATTTTAAAAAATATCCCCCCTTAGCCTCTGGTATGTTGCTGGTTTCCAGCAACATAATACAACTTAAATAGTACATGTCTATGGCAGTTCATAGTTTATAAAGCCACTTCACATTTATTACTGTACTTAATTTTCTCTTTAGGTTGCCATATTGATGGAAAAAATTCTTCCTTGATGGAACCAAGCCACAAACACTCACCTGATAGGACAATACTTGCCCTTTTCTCTTGGCCAATGGCTGGGTTGTAAAAGCAGCAAGTGACAGGACCATCAGTACTATTTGTAAGAAGGACACTCATCTTCAGGTGTAATAATCCAGCTCCATCCTGAGAGTAAGATTTTAATGAGTGTGGAATTACATTCCCACTGCTGTTTCTCCACTCCATCTGGGCTTGTGGGAACCACCCTCCTGAGTTACACTCCACCATTAATCCAGCTCCATCCTGAGAGTAAGATTTTAATGAGTGTGGAATTACATTCCCACTGCTGTCTCTCCACTCCATCTGGGCTTGTGGGAACCACCCTCCTGAGTTACACTCCACCATGACCCCTTCTGTGTCAGGAACTTGAACATTAATCTGTATATCCATGCCTAGAGCTGGGGAGAGAAGAGAGAAACATCATTTTAATTATTGGTGTGAGCTCAAGAATTGAGAAGTAAATGGACCTTTTCATTCTTTGTGGCCTGTTAGGTATGCCATAAGTTTAATGGGGTGGCCACAATTAGGGCAAGGACAATATTTCAGTCTAAGTCTGAGATATCAGGACACCAAAAATATTAACTGTATAAGAAAAGACTGATAAATTAGACTTTATAAAGTAAGTAATTTGTCTTCATCAAAAGACAACATGTAGAGAAAAAGCAAGCCACAGACTAGAAGATATCTGTAATATATCTGAGAATGGAGTTGTGTACAAAATATACTTTAAAATACCATAAATCAATAAGACAGACAAACTTAGGTTCTAAAGAGGGAAAAACATTTGAAGAGGCATTTAATTTTAAAAGATATCCAGATGGCTAATAAGTATATGCAAAAATGCTCAATATCACCAGCCATTATGGAAATGCAAAGTAAAACTTCAATGATATTCCACTTTCTCCACCACTAGAATGTTTAAAATGAACAGGACTGGGACTGACATTGCCAAATACTGGAGAGGCTATAGAGCAACGACAGCTCTCCTATTTGGTTGGCTCCAGGACTGTAAATTGGTTTAATCTCTTTGGAAAGTCATCAGTGTCTACTAAAGTTAAACTTATATCATGCTCATGACCCAGAAATTTCACTCCTAGTTATATACATAACAGAAATGAGTACCAATGTCTACAAAAAAAAAAAGTTCAGGAATATTCATGGCCACATTATTCATAATAACCCCAAACTGAAAGTAATTCAAATGTTCATTCACAGCATAGAACACTGTACTACAAAGAAACGCAAAAGAACAAACTTCTGCTACTCACAGCATAATTTTTTGAATAATGGTGAACAATCATACATATAAGTGTTTTATTCCATTTATACTAAGTTCTAGAATAAGCAGAACTGACCTATAGAGATAGAAGTTAGAATAATGATTACTTCAGCAGGAGGAGAGTGGTATTCACTAGGTATTGACAAGATGGAACAATTTGGGATGATGGTTGAAAATATTCAATATCTTTTTTTTTTTTTGTCTTTTTTTGTCTTTTTCCGTGTCCGGCAACGGATCGCAACCCTCAGTGTTGCCCCCGTACCCGACCGGGGACCGGCAACAGGATTGCAAGCCTCGGTGTTGCTCCCACGCCTCGCTCAGCCAGTGAGCGGGAACCGGTCTGTATGTGGGATCCGAACCCTCGGGCGGGAGCGCCGCCGCGCTTCCCAAGCGGCGCACTATCCAGTGCGCCACCGGGCCGGCCCAAAATATTCAATATCTTGATCAGAGGGGCGAATTCATGGGCATGTGTGAAAATTCATGGATCCATGCACTTAGGATTTGCACACTCTCCTGTATGAAAAATATATTTTAACACAAAAAGAAAAATAATTTGATAAACCCAAGATAGAACCAATTTCACCTGGGTGTCCCAGTCTCTACATTGGCTATTTTGGAATTTGCATCATCACTTCCTGAATGTAGATAAGGAATCAATTTCTTTTGGGGAGTAGAATAGTATGCAAATAATAAATAAGTACAATCCATTTTAAAAAATTGAAACTATGTATTTAGAGAATTCGTTGTCAGTGATGATGATGAGATAATTTGCGCCAACCTTCCTGCTAAAGACAACCCAAAAATTGGATGAAATACAAAAAGCACCTCCTGAAATTAAACTAAATCGAACAAGATAGTCATTACAGAACCTGAACAGGGAAGTGACTGGAATTCAAGGAGATTTTAGCTATTACTTCAGCATTTATTTCTCAGGGAAGGCATCTAATGACCCTGAGCTTCTCTTAGAGAACTTCAAGGAGTAAAAGAGGATCATAAATCTCAAGCTCAAAAAGGTAAAGATGCTGGTACCCCAGTAAGTGGGCCCCACCCCTGAGAACCTGACCCAGATGCTGCTGCGGGTGCCAGCATAACAGGCAGCTGTGCCATCAGCAACACCCCTTGCCACTGCCAAAGACACCATTGATGCGTGAGTGGGCCATGACAGCCATCACCACAGCAATTGCCACCACAAGGGCAGCTCACTGCTAGAACAGCAGCCACAGCTACCTCACAGGTGACCTGCTGACCACTCATCAGCATACATAGGAGAGTCAATAGTGGAGCCCAGGGAAAGAGGAAAGACAAAAGAGAAAACCCACCCAGGGTCAACCATTCAAACTGAGGAGCACTAGTATACCCCAGTGCACCCATTAGGGTCAGGGGGGCTAGCCAGGGTGCCAACAGGCCTGCCCAAGAACATCTGCCATAATCTAGGAGTGACAAGACTCCAAGGCACTACCCCCCAAAATTTGAGAGCTTGCCTACATCCTGACAAACCAAGAGAGTGTAACTAACCTCAGCAAGTAAATGTGAAGTGATCTGAGGACTAGACCACAGAGGCACTCTCACACAGTTCCAACACCGAATTCAGCCAAAGTACCTACACAAAGACTACACTACTGTGTCAACCTGGAACCAATACTAAAACACCCCATTCAGCCATCATTATAAAACACATCCACAAGAACTCCCTCTCCTCAAACCCAACTCCAGAGTACAAGAAAAAGCAATTTCTCTACCAGACAACTAAACACTAATGTAGACATACTATAAATACGAAAAAAACAAGAAAATATGACACCGCAAAAGGAATATAATAATTCTCAAATACCATATCTTATAGAATAGGAAGTCCTAGAAATGATTTAAAAGGATTTTTGAACAATAGTAAGGAAACTCAATGAGATACAAGAAGATTCAGTTAGATGACACAAAAAAATGAGAAAAAGCATACAAGACCTGAAGGAGAAAATGTACAAAGAAATTAAAGCCCTAAAAAGAAGGTAGCAGAGGTCATGGAGCTGAAGGATTCATTCAGTAAAATGAAAAACAAAACAGAGAGCTTAAACAGCAGGCTAGAACAAGCAGAAGAGAGAATTTCTGATCTTGAACACGGCCTTTTTAAAACCCAGGTAGGCAAAAAAAAAAAAAAAAAAAAGAATTTTTTAAAAAAGAAGAAAATCTAGAGAGGTAGCAGACAACCATAAGCACACAAGTATCTGAATCATAGGGATTCCAGAAGGGGATTAAAAAAGGAAAAGACATTGAAAACATATTCAATGAAACAATAGCAGAAAACTTCCCAGGTAAAAAAAAAAAAAAAAAAAAAAAAAAAAAAGAATTTTTTAAAAAAGAAGAAAATCTAGAGAGGTAGCAGACAACCATAAGCACACAAGTATCTGAATCATAGGGATTCCAGAAGGGGATTAAAAAAGGAAAAGACATTGAAAACATATTCAATGAAACAATAGCAGAAAACTTCCCAGGTATAGAGAGAGATACAGACATTCACATCCAGGAGTCTCAAAGATCCCTAAACAGATTCAACCCAAAAAAGTTCTCTCCAATGCATATTATAGTCTAATTGGCTAAGCTAAAAGACAAAGAGAGAATCTTAAAAACAGCAAGAGAAAAGCATCAAGTCACCTATAAAGGAGCCTCCATTAGACTAACAGCAGACTTTTCATAAGAAACCCTAAAGGCTGGAACAGAATAGGATGATACATTCAAAATACTAAAAAACAAAAACTGCCAGCCTAGAATACTATACCCAGCAAGGATATCCTTCAGAAATGAAGGAGAAGTACTATATTTCCCAGACAAAAACTGCAGAAGTTCACCACCACACAACCAGCCCTTCATGAAATCCTCAAGGAAGTATTGCACCTGGTATCTGAAAAATAACCATCACTACTGTGAATAAACAAGAAAGAACAAAACCCATGAGTAGAACAAAAAGGCAAATGATAAAGAGAAAGGAACTTTATCTAACCACCTCAAGAAACCAACATAAATGGAAGATAAACAACAAAAGGGAAAGAACAAAAGATATTTAAAACATTCAAACAAAAATCAGTAAAATGCCGAGAGTAAATCAACACCTTTTAATAACAACTCTTAACATAAAAGGATTAAATACAAAGGAACTGACTGACTGATGGAATTAAAAAGCAAGACCCAACAATATGCTGTCTTCAAGAGACTCACCTCACCTGTAAAGACACACACAGACTAAGAGTGGAAGGATGGAAAAAGATATACCATGCAAACAAAAACCAAAAATGAGCAGGAGTAGCTACTCTTATATCAGATAAAACAGACTTTAAACCAAAAACTGTAAAAAAAGACAAAGAAGGCCACTATATAATGATAAAGGGATATATCTGGCAAGAAGATATAACAATCATAAGTATATATACACTGAACATTGGAGCAGCCAGGTATATAAAGAAAACACTATTAGACCTAAAGAAAGAGATAGACCCAAATACCATAATAGTTGAGGACCTGAACATGGCACACATCTATAGAACATTTCATCCAACAACCACAGAATATACATTTTTCTCATCAGCACATGGAATGTTCCCCAGGATAGACCACATGTTAGGTCACAAATAAAGTCTCAACAAATTTTTACAAATTGAAATCACTTCATGTATTTTTTCACACCACAATGGATTAAAACTAGAAATCAGTAACAAATGAAACTCTGGAAGCTATACAAATACATGGAAGTTAAACAGCAGTCTCCTGAATGATATATGGGCACAAGAAGAAATTAAACAGGAAACCAAAAAATTTCTTGAAACTGATGAAAATAAAGACACATCATACCAAAACCTGTGGGATACTACAAAAGCAGTACTAAGAGGGAAGCTTATCACAATAAACACTTACATCAGAAGAATAGAAATATTGCAAATAAAAAACCTAATGCTACACCTCAAAGAACTCAAAAAACAAGAACTATCCAACCCCAAACTTAGTGGATGGAAAAAATAATTAACATCAGAGCAGAAATAAATGAAATAGGAACCCCAAAAATGATACGAAAGATCAATGAAACAGAAAGTTCAATTTTTGAGAAGATAAACAGAAAAACCATTACCTAGGCTT